CCCATGCATGGTATACTAAACGCCATCTGTATGGAAATTTAGGTACTGCTATAAAATTAATAATATTGATTGAGAAGGTACTAGAAGAAATAGGAGAACAGAGGACACCGCGAAAATCATAAAAAGGAGACATAAGATGGTAAGACATCTGAACCATGGAGGTTGAAGAACTAGTTAAGGAATTATTAGAAGCACGAACATGAGTACAGACAAATACAAATACAGGAGGGCAGACATGCAGGATATTGAAGTTTTAGAGAAAAGCGAAGATTGACTTGGGACAAGGATGTGGTGTGATATTGATAATATTCATTATCATCATATTCGACGAGGTGTATTACTCTGCAACAAAGTTCACTATCTAGATGTACAGTAGTACAAATAATATGATTAACACATATTTTGAAAAGTGCTGATTTTCTGGAAGGTCTCTTCAATCTTGAAAATTCTGCTGAAGAGGATTCACATCCAAAATGTCCAAATTTGAACATATTCTGACGAAAATATCAGCATAAAGGATTTCTTCCAGTTAATTTTAATAATACTCCTTGCGCTTTAAAAACATATATGACGTGATTTACGTTAATATAACGATATTCAAGGAGCGTTATCGCAAATTGCCTGTCTTGTGTATGGAGAATGTGACTTTTTGTTGTTGATTTGAACGAAGAAGAGGAAATATTCTATATATTATGTACATATATCTCACATAATATGTAGGTACTTACTTGTTCGCTAACAATGACAACAAACGCGTCCCATTTTAATACGAAATCCTCCTTACAAATTCTTGCTACATAGGTACCTATCTACCTTTAATCTAATTGTATACGTTTATTAAAAATGAGTATCACTTAAATAACCGCAGAAGTTTAAGACGAATATTATTATTAGTATGTAAAAATTTGACTTTATTTATTTTTTTATTAAATTGTATCAACGTATTTTCTGTTTTTTATAAATTTAGAAGGTTAGAAATGGAGGTATTAATTAGAAGGAATAGCAGAGAGGGCGCTATGGAAGTCAATAAGTTATAAATAGAGGCGAGATATGTTGGTAGGACACCTTCTCAGGCAGGAATAAGACTTTTAGAGACATATTCGAAGCAGAAACAGGAGTTAGGAGGAATAGAGGTAGACCTAGATTAGATTACTGTTCACGGTAAATGTCTAGATGATGGCCCCCATCCCCGAAGTGGGATCGAAAGGGGAGGTCTCCCCCACCACTGTACCATAAAAAGTCCGTGGCGGTCTCACCCCCATAAAATGGTATGGGGGTTAGATAGGGGTGGGGGTAGGGGGGATCGAAAGAGGGTGGTCACCTGAGTAAAACCCCATAAAAAATTTACGGCGGTCTTACCCCCATAAAAAGTTATGGAGGTTGAAAGTTGATTATTTTGACAATTTTCATACACTATAATTCAAATAAAGTTCAATAAAAAAAATATTTTCAAGCGGGTGGAGGTGGGGGATCGAAAGAGGGTGGCCACTTGAACAAAACCCGATAACCTAACCTACCCTATTGATAAAAATATTTAAATAATGTTTTAACTTTCTCAATATTTTTATGTATTTTTCCATTAATTTTACCTTTGAATATTGTTTAAAAATGACAATATAAATATTTACATGCCTAGAAATGTATATAAATTGGCATATTTTTTAACTTTATTATCCCTATAACTTTTTATGGGGGTGAGACCGCCACGAACTTTTTATGGTACAATGGTGGGGGAGACCTCCTCCTTTCGATCCCCCTATCCCCACCCCCGAAGGGGGTAGGGGGCCATCATCTAGACCTTTTCCCTGTTCACACATACTTAAGGTAGTAAATTGTTCTAGTTTGAAGGAAGGCAGAGATTAGCTTAGGATAGGAAATAGTGGAGGTGTGTATCCAACCAGTCTTAAGACTAACGATTCTATGATCATGATGAGTATGATTGATTTAGATTTGACAACATTAGTTATTATGAAGATAAAAATCTATTTGTATATTATTACTATTGCAGAAGACGTCTCATACTTTAGATCAGTGATTATCTCCCAGAGGTGTCACGAAAAATATTTGGGGAATTTCAGAAAAATAATCATAGGTCAATGTTTCTGGGTTTCTGAAAAAACTGAATTCGGTTCAAGTGAAAAATATTTGTTTAACCAAGAAAACCATATGAAAATTTGAAGACTTCCCATTTTTAATTCATGTTTCAATAAATCAAAAAAATTTAGGTAAAGATGAGTGTTCATATTTATTGTCAAAAGTTAAAATCTTATACAACGTTTCTTTAAGCTTGGCCAGTGTGAGCAAGCACTAACCGTAATATTGATATTGCTTGGGCATCCATCAAATCAGGTCAACGAATTCAATTAATCATTGTGCAGAAAATGGGTCGGGGAAGCCGTATAGGTCTGTTTATGTTGTACTTATAGCTATCGCGTGGTATGCTACCAGAAGGCAAGTAATCAATATAATCTGTAAGGCTCTAAGGAAATAATCAAAGTTGGAGCCCAAGTCCCGACGTACAAAAACTTTCAATTCGCGTCCAACAATATTAATTTATTAAAGCGCCCTTAATACGTTTAGCAAAATCATTATGGCACCTATAGAAACATATTATATCGGCGTTGTTTGTGTTGGCTGTCTGTAAGTAACGGACGTGTCTTCTTGTCTTTTTTTTTTGAAATAATATATAATAAATTATGTCAATCATTAATTTGCTTCAACTAATCTTTAGTTTTATTATACTGTCTCGTCTTCGATTTTTGCCAATTCCAAAAAATTGATCAATGAATCTGTATCAAATTTTGTGTGAAAAACAAAATTATGTATGCGGACGCATTCCTAATGTTGACTGTGGCACATTGAGAAGCTACCTTGGACCGAAAGAACGTTTATCGGTGGTACAAAATGTTCTCAGAGGGCCAAGAAGATGTGAACGACGAAGAGCGTGGCGGACTCCCGAGCACATCAATAACAGACAAAACATTGATGACAGTGAAGAAAATAGTATTGGCCAATCGAATCACCGTTAGAGAAGTTTCTGAGGACTTAAACATATTAATTGGCTCTTGCCATTCGATTTTGGTCATAGACATGAGACGGATCGCCACGAAACTCGTACCAAAATTGCTCAATTTCGACCAAAAATAGTATCGCTTTAACATTACTAAGGAGCTATTGGACTTTCTCCGCAACTACCCAAATATGCTCCAGAGGGTCATAACTGGTGACGAATCATGAGTTTATGGTTATGACGTGGAAACCAAAGCTCAATCATCCCAATGGAACCTGCAGCACGAGCCAAGACCGAAAAAAGCGCGTCAAGTTAGGTCGAATGTGAGGTTTTGCTTACAGTTTTCTTCGATTGCAGGGGCGTCGTGCATCATGAGTTCTTGCATCAGGGTAGAACGGTTAATAAGGAATATTACCCGTAAGTTATGCGCAATTTGCGCCAAGCAATCCGCCAGAAACACCCGGATTTGTGGAAGAACAAAAATTGGCTTTTGCACCATGATAACGCCCCTTCTCAAACATCGTCGCTTGTGCGCGAACTTTTGGCCAAAAATAATACACTAATAATGCCGCAGGCACCGTATTCCCTAGATCTGACCCGCTGTGACTTTTTCTTGTTCCCGAAACTGAAGAGGCTCATGATTGAGGAGATAAAGACGGCATCGAATGAGGAGCTGAACAAGTTCATAAAAAATGATTTTTCGAAGTTCTTTAAGAGTTGGAAAAAACGTTGGCACAAGTGTATAATATCCGGTGGGGATTACTTTAAAGGTGACAAAATAGATAGTCATGAATAAATAAATAATTTCTGAAAAAACAAATTCGCAATACTTTTTGGTTTTTACGATAATCCAATAATCGTCAGTAAGACAATATGTATCTAAATTTGACGTTCATAATGTTACTACTTGGTGATTATCCACTTTGGTTACTATCAAGAAGTAAATGCAACACTTAGCGCCATCTAATGTTAAGAGGTGGAGTAACAACTGAACGAAGCGGAGATTCCTTCATCCCCGGAGATAGCTACGATGCTATTACTATTACCAGTTAACACCAATTAAATCCAAAAAAGCAATTAATTGTAGATTATTGTCTATAAGAATGTTATCAATTGACGAGTTCACTATGGGTATTTTAAAGTCAAAAAGAAATAATAGAATTTTTCAAATGAAATGCTTAGTCCATCACCATAATCCTGTTTCACGGTCAAGCATCTTACCATAAGAAGATCTCATCATTTCGCAAAGTTCTGTTGCTTCTAATTTCTTTTTCATATTCTTTTGTAGTTGCATTTTTGAGACATTTAGAGAACACTTTCCATTCATCGATATTACCTAACCAATCTTCTCTTTTGAATGACTTTCAATATGAAATGTTCGATTTATAGCCCTATTTACAAAGAAGTGCTGCAGCATTTCCAATTTTTAATCCCAACGTTATAATAGCACTTCGATGCGTTTGTTCAAAATCATTATCAGGACTTTTTAGAAGCCACTTAAGCACGTATGAAAAGAAATGTTACCGTCACCGCCTGTTGCCACGTTAGCATTGGAAGCCCTTAGCTTAAGGCCCTCGGTTGTTGAAGAGCAACCACGACACTTTTAGTCGCGTCTAAGCTTATGTAAAAGAATAGTTTATTTTATGTATAAACTGTATGTTTGAACCCATTCTTCTTTAAGTACCTAATGTCTTCTTAATGGGAGTTGACAGTGGTGTTTCGACAAAGGTTTTAACACAAATGTTTCTATCTAAAAGAAGAAAAACGTTGAAATGTGAAAATGAAAAACAAAATATCATTGAAACGCTTTTTCTAAATTCAGTTGGGCACATGACCAAAAATGAATGTAGTACATCAGATGAATTAAATTTACGGTTGCAACAGTCAAAAATGTCTCTATTCATGGGTTTTGTAAAATGGTCATGTGCCATATAGAACGTCAATAGATAATAGTATACTTTAATAGTTTTTGGTTTTCACTTTCTTTCAGATTCCGGTCAGTCATGAAGTAAGAAAATGTTCCATCTCTTCACCTGCTGCCTGGTGGCGTTATTACTGACGAATGCAAATTGTAAAAAGGTCAAAAGCGTTTCAGACATCAATTTCCACTTCACGAAACCTCTGTACAATGTCAGCATACCGGAGAACAGTGTGGCGAATACGTACGCGTCTCCGGCCCCCGGTGAACGAATTGGCATTCAAATTCTTAAAAAGAACGCATTTTCAGACATACGATACAAGATAGTTAAAGGTGACAAGGACAAATTTTTCAAGGCAGAAGGACGGCTCGTGGGCGATTTTTCTTTCCTCTTTATTCGTATTAAAGCGGGCAACAACCACGTACTGAATCGAGAACGGAAAGACAAATACGTTTTGGATATCAAAGCCATAGCGTCCCATCCCGAAAACAAACACAAATCGGTTGAAACTCAAACGGTTGTGGAGATCACCATCCTGGACACAAACGATCTCAGCCCTCTCTTTTATCCCACAGATTACAACGTTACAGTTTACGAAGACACACCGCTTCATCGCAACATAGTGAAAGTTACAGCCGAAGATGCGGATCTCGGACGAAACGGGGAAATCTATTACAGTTTTGCTCATGAAACTGATCAGTTTGCAATCCATCCCATAACCGGAATCATATCCTTGACGAGGCCGCTTCTTTACAGTGAAACGTCATACCACGAGTTGATTGTCATCGGACAAGACAGAAGCGCAGCTTTAACGTCGTCAAAATATTCAAATTCGATGGCCATGAGCAAGGCCACCGTGAGAATAAGGGTTAGCAAAGTCAATTTTTACGCTCCCGAAATCAACGTTCGTAGTCACGCGAAAATTGTCGAAAATTCTATCTCAGATATTTACGCAATAGTTACAGTAACTGACAAAGATACCGGTATCCACGGAGAAATAAAATCTCTTGAAATAGTTGGTGGTGATCCGGATGGTCACTTCCGAATAAGACCATCATCCCAGAAAGGCGAATACACCATAGAAGTCCTTAAACTGTTAGATCGCGAAAAGACTCCAGCTGGATACACTTTAGAATTAAGAGCCGTCGATCGGGGAATTCCGCCCAAAGAAACTTATAAATCCGTTCGAGTGGTACTGGCTGATTTGAACGACAATGCGCCCGTGTTTAATAAAGAAATTTATGAGGTTAAAGTGCCTGAAACAGCTCCCATCAATACTCCGTTGATAAGACTAAAAGTAACGGATGCGGACGAAGGTAAAAACGCCCGCGTCTACCTAGAAATAGTTGGAGGTAATGAAGGGGGTGAGTTCTTCGTCAATCCCGAAACTGGGATGTTGTACACAGCTGTCAATTTGGATGCGGAGAAAAAGCCTTTCTACAGCTTAACCGTTAGTGCCATTGACCAAGGGAATGTAGCTACCAGGAAACAATCGTCAGCCAAAGTAAAAATATACGTGGTTGATACCAACGATAACGATCCCATATTCGAAAATCCAGAAATGACAGTATGGATTAACGAAAATCAGCCTGCAGGCACCTCCGTTACAACTGTTAGGGCCAAGGATCAGGATTCGGGTGAAAACGCTTACATATCCTATTTGATCGCCAATCTTGTGGAAGTGCCATTTGAAATCGATCACTTTTCAGGAGTTATCAGAACCACCACACTCTTAGACTACGAGAGCATGAGACGGGAATACGTTCTTCATTTGCGCGCCTCCGACTGGGGTTTACCCTATCGGAGACAAACTGAGATGCAAATGACGATCAAAGTGAAAGACATAAATGATAACCGGCCGCAATTCGAAAGAATAGATTGTTCAGGTCACGTTTCTCGTTTTACGCCTGTTGGAACGGAAATAATCACGCTGTCAGCAATCGATTTTGACGCCGGCAACATAATAAGTTACCGGATAGTTTCTGGAAACGATGATGGATGTTTCTCGATCGATCCCACATCGGGAACCGTTTCTTTGGCTTGCGATTTAAACAATGTACCATCGACTGAAAGAGAAGTGAACGTGACAGCCACCGACGGAACTCATTTTGCCGACATAGTGAGAGTCAATATTAAACTAGTCAATACGAAGGGCACTTTCACTGCCAAAAATCGAATTCTGCCCTCCGATACGTTCGAGTGTAAAGAAACCGGCGTGGCCAGACGTTTAACGGAAATCCTCGCGGCTTCCGAAAACAATAATAAGATCGGAGTCCAGGACGAATTTCCAATGATGCCCACGCGTTACGGGCAAAACATTCACGTTCCAGAGCTAATCGACTTTCCGACAGAAATTAAAGTTAACGAGTCGGTCAGTTTAGGGACTGTTCTAATTAAATTAAGTGCGAGCGACAGAGACTTGGGCTACAATGGTAAATTGGTTTATGGAATCTCAGGAGGCGACGAAGATTCGGTTTTTTGTATCGACATGGACACTGGACGTTTAAAAGTCATCGGTTATTTAGATCGTGAACGTGAAAATGAGTATTTTCTCAATATAACAGTTTATGATTTGGGAAAACCGCAAAAATCTACATCGAGAGTACTTATCATAACTGTTCTAGATGTAAACGATAATCCACCAAAGTTCGAAAAATCTCTAGCCAGTTTTAGGGTAACTGAGAACGCTCTGAACGGAACGGTAATTTTCAAAGCAAATGCTACCGATCAGGATGTGGGAGATAACGCGAAGATAACGTATTCTTTAATAACTGATACAAACGATTTTGTTGTGAATAAGCGAACAGGTGCCCTTAAAGTTGCCAACGATCTCGATAGGGAACGTCAGGAAGTTTATAATTTGAGAATAAGGGCAACCGACGGTGGAAGTAAAGATCCGGCTTACCCTCGTTTGTATTCCGATGCTATCGTTCGCATCATTGTCGATGATATCAACGATAATGCTCCAAAGTTCAGTTTACCCAATTACGTTGTGAAAATTCGAGAAGATGTGCCCGTTGGAACCGTTTTAGCTGTTGTTACTGCATTTGATCCCGATTTAGGAGACGATGGTAAAATCGTCTACTCTCTCGAAGACAATGGGGATGATATTTTCAAAATTGACAATGTATCAGGAACCGTAAGGACAACAAAACATCTGGATTATGAAGAGCGACAAGTAAGTTTCAAAATGAATTATAAAGGGACCCCTTTTTCATTAAAATTGCCTAAAAATACACCACCAGCAAAAATAACAAGGCTGTTCCTAGAAAGCCGTTAACGAGTACAAAGAACGGGGCAAAACGAATGTGACGACATATAATAGACGTTTGTCTCAGTGCAGAAAAGTATCTGTCTGACGTCACATATGTATACTCTAATTAAATTTTAATTATATAATTAGACAGAATCAAACAACTATAAACTGCCTTCAATATTCCAATATTACAATGCTGCTAAAAGAAGCCATAAATTGACTATCAAACTTAAGTGCATCACAGCAATGACAACACTCACTTCATGATAGGATCTATGTATATGACGTCACAGACGTTTTGTCGTCTCACTGATCGATAGCCGTTAGAGTCTCTCTAGCCATTGCGGAAAAAGAAATAAGATTTTCATAACACTGCACATAATAATTTTTAAAAAATTGTACACATGAGATCCATAAAGATAAACTAAATAAATAACGTCATTCAGTTATTATTATAACTATGACAATTAATTAATAATCCAATATAGGGGGGTGTCTACATACAGAATTGCTTTAGTCTCTTACCGCCTTTTTTGCAAATAAAAATTAAATAATAATTTTACAAAATCAATCTGATTATTTATGAGTTTAAATTCAAAAATTACATCATTTTTAAAAAGTAGGAATATTAATTGTAAGTAATTTGCAAATGATAGAGAGTAGTCATGGTCAATTATATTTATAGACTGACGACTTTGAAATGAAACATGTCTAAAATAAGAATGATTTAACTCTTAATTCTTCGAGTTCATAGAGCTGATATTTAGTATAAAGGTGTCCATATTAATGAATCTGCAAGTTTAAATGGGATAGTGACTCGAACACTGTAATAATATTTAATATAAGTTAATATTTCTTTGTTTTTTTTATTTTAATTAGTCAGTGTAAAGACGTATGTTTTTGAACTAATTGTTTCCATTTAACCAATGGCATTCTTTCCTATTAATATGCTATCAAAATGATTCAATCCAATCCTGTCAATTATTCTGAAATTTTGAGATCAACCAAAATTCTTGTTGACGTAAGAGAAACATACCTTATAAGATAAATAATTATAAAAAAAATATATTAATGCGTCTTAGATGTTAAATATCATTCACGAACTCTCGACATGCGTGCAGTTAGACGAATGTATCTTTTTAATGAGAAATGTTGATTTGCTTCTCATCACTATCATTTCAAAGCTTTTCTCGTTCAAAGGAATAAATTTACAGAGGAGAACATTCGGAATTAAACACGCCTACCTATTTCCAGCCTGATGTCGTAATTAATGCCTAACGTTGGAAAAACGACCTAGCAACACATAAACCTACGTATGATTTTGTAAAATAATTTTTTATATCTCTGCAATATTCCAATACGTTATTTGCCCTTACCAAGCAAACTATATCAATGCCACTCTAAACAGAAATCTACTTTTGTTTTATTGATCAATATTTGTAGTACTGTACTTCAAACCCGAGTGGAATTACCCGATGAGGACGAAAGAAATAATACAAAAGAATCTAAACTGATGACTCCCCGTTCTTTTTTGTTTTTAAAGAATTCATCATCATCATCATCATAAGGTCATCAGTCCTAAGACTGGTTGGACACGTACCTCCACTCTTTCCTATCCTGAGCTAAACTTCGCATTTCCCTAAAACTAGAACAGCCCACATCCATAACTATTTGCGAACAGTAATCTAATCTAGGTCTACCTCTACCCCTCCTAACTCCTGTTTCTTCCTCTAATATGTCTCTGACTAGACCTTCATGCCTAAGAAGGTGTCCTACCAACCTATCTCGCCTATTTTTTATTGATTTCCATAGAGTCCTCTGTTCTCCTATTCTTTCCAATACCTCTTCATTTCTAACCTTTTCTACCCACGATATCCTCATCATCCGCCTATAACACCACATTTCGAACGCTTCTAACCTTTTCTTTTCCGTCGCTCCCACTGTCCATGTTTCGCACCCGTACAACGCCGTGCTCCAAACATACACCTTTAACAACCTTTTTCGAATTTCTAATTTAATCGTTCGCGAGCATAGAAGTGACTTCTTTTTATTAAAGGCGACACGACCCTGCGCTATCCTCTGCTTTATATCCCTACTACTCCTTCCATCCTCACTTATCTGACTTCCTAGGTATCTAAAATCAGCCACTCTTCTAATTTTTCGTCTCCTATCTTTATATTCGCTCTTTCCCTACTTTTTCTTCCCTTGCATATCAGTATTTTAGTTTTACTTTTATTTATTTTCATACAGTACTGATCTGTCAGTACCGCTTCCATTTTATTTAAAGCTATCTCTAGGTCCTCCTTGCTAGATGCTAATACTGCCATATTATCTGCAAATCTAAGCATACTAATCTTTTGCCCTTGCACATCTATCCCTAAAGAATTGCAGGTACAATAATAATGGTCCACAAGTATGTAACGTAGAAAGATAAAATAAATAAATTAAGTACTTGGCGCCATTCAGCGTTCAGAGCCCAATAACTGCTGAGTGAACGGGAGACTTATTTGTACTGGGGGATAGTTACTATTTTACACCATAAAGGGGGGTAGTTCTACAAATTTGATCATAAAATATAAACCATTTAACGAAGAAAGGTTTTGGGTTTCATTCCCACCAGCCAGTAAAGCTGGTAGGTGGGCGGGGAGTCCCTCCGGACTACGCTGAAGACCCTCTTCAGCCTCCTTTCAGGAATCATGGGAATGGGTGGGTAGTGGTTCTGGTGAGAAAGATGAGACGAACGAAATGAAGACAGAAGAGAATGAAAGATTATCTGTGGAATATTACTGCCCCAGCATTTGCCTGTAAGAGATCCAAAGAAACCACAGAAAAACTTGGATCAGGGCAGATAGACTCGGAATAGAAATAAAAATCAGAAATCTTCTATTCTGATATGAAACAAAAGCGATTTGAATGTCTTCAGACATATACCTTGTCTTCGAAGACACAGACCAACTTGTTTTTAAAATTACCTACCCCAATTATAATTATTGTTATCATTAAAACTCACGGTTGCGCACTAATCGATGATGAAGTATCATTTCCGCTTTTTTTTTAATAAAATGAACATTTAGTGATTGAATGTATAAGCAGTTGTCTTGCAGGAAGCGCTTCTGAAAGTACTTTTATACTAAGGAATTGAGCTTGCCCGAAGGACTCATACCCGCCAAATGTGTTCCCTTACATTTATTTAAACTGGAAACATACTAAATAGTTCAAACCCCACCAGTCCCCGAATGAGGGTACTTTGTTATCAAAAAGTACTTTGGATATTTAGTGTCGTGTTTTGGCATTGGGATTTGACCTATTTAGCGTGTTCTACAATACTGCCAGTCTCCAGTCTTCTTAGTTAAAATAAAAAATTAGCACAAAGCAAATCAGATATTGGCTGGGGTCATTTGCAAGCAGGTTTAACTAGTCTTCCATTTGGGAATACCAGTCATGGTACAGTAAAAGTGCTATTTTGTCCCATTACTGACACCGCTAAATGTAAACGTTACAAATCGTGATAAATAACAAAAATATAGATTTTAATACTAAATATAAAAGATACTATAAACAAAATCTAAGAAATAAAGCAGTCCAAAATATGATATTTTCAGGTTCACACATTTAAAGTGGTCGCTAGGGATTGTGGAAATCCACCATTATCATCGGAAACGTTGGTAACCGTAAATGTTGTAGACGTTAACGAAAATCTGTTTGCGCCACATTTTTCCGATTTCGTTTTTTCGGGATCTGTGTTAGAGAATCAACCTGCTGGAACAGTAGTCATCCAAGTAAACGCCACCGATCAAGATCCCGCGGGAGAAGACAGTAGAATTAAATACTCTATCAAAGGAGGAGATGGAATTGGAGTGTTTTCCATTGATAATCACGGTAAATAGGACAGCTTTCTTTACTTAAACTAATGCATCCGCAAAGTGGTTCCGTAAAAATTGATTTCAGTGTACCACACGCAAGAACGATCTTAGAAACATAATATTTTTTTCTGTGGTTGAGGTTCTGAGGTACGAAACCGTACAACTGAGATGAGTTGTGTCATGAATAGTCTTGAGTCTAGAATACTGCCTCTAATGTCTTTTAATTTCAATGTTGCACTAGTTTTGATTTTGACTGGAAGGAAATGGAATTCGCGTGATTCATGAAAAATGTAAACTGAAAAAAAGATTGTCAATGCCCATAGTAATTTATTCATAAGATTTGCTGTTATTTGTTTGACTTTACTTGTGTAGAATACGTATTCATTAGTTTACCTATTGGCAAACAAAACGGGACTGGAATCGTTTAAATTGATTGACACGTTGAGTTACTGTAATGCATACAAGTGAGCCAATCAAGCGCTTCAAGCAAGGAAAAGGGGTTGCTTTGTTTCAGGAAAATTTAAAAACGTTCATTTGAGACCTTGAATGAACTGATGGTATCGGAATATAAAGTATTACATGTATGTAGTTTGCTAGAAACAACCTTGGATAGAGAAAGAGTTTTATTGTACTTAACCCAAAACGACTTATTGAAAGCCATTTGAAGATGACAAATTCAAATTTTTTGATATTAATGTCCATGTTTATTCCGAATTCAAAATTGAGGAAATGGGGCTATTTTGGGGTCACACTGTTAAAAAAATGTATCGCATTTTAGGGACTATTCGAACCACTTCCATCCTAGATATCGAAACAAAATCTCACTTTTGGCTCACAGTTTACGCTCAAGATCATGGTATTGTACCTCTATCTTCCAGTGTTGAGGTGAGGAAAAATATCTTTTCGTAGAAAGAACAAAAATCTATAAATAATAAATGATGTACAGGTCTACATCGAAGTATTGAACGAAAATGACAACGTTCCACTCAGTGAACAAGCAGTCTATTATCCGTCTATCCCTGAGGATAGTCCAGCTGGGCATTCCATAGTCCAGATTACTGCCTCGGATAATGACATTGACTCAAACCAGAAAATTTCGTTCAGCATCATTTCCGGAAATCCCAGCGGGTGTTTTGCCATAAACACATCAACGGGTGAGAAAAGTTAATATTATATGTGGAGTGTTTTGGCAAAAGGACACTTCGAAATTGTTAGGAAATAACATTTTCTAAAATATTCTTTAAACTTCTGTAGGGTTAATAACAACCACGAGTAGACGTTTGGATAGAGAAAACCAAGAGGAGCATATTTTGGAAGTAATTATAATTATTTTGGGTTAATCATTGTTATGTTGCTTCTTGTTAAATTTGCATAGATTCTTATATCGGACAACGGTCGGCCTGTTTTAACATCGACTACTAGGGTTGTAGTTAAGGTTGAAGACATCAATGACAGTAGTCCTGAATTCGAACAAAGCTTTTATAAAGTTCAAGTTTCTGCATCGGATGATCCTAAAACCCACATGCTTCAGGTACAATTAGATCGTAAACACGTTTATTTTTTATCGGAAAATTTTTCATATTATGATTATTTTGGAATTTAGACTGAAAACCTTAAGGACGAAAATGATAATACCGTAGTGACTTCTGAAGGCGACCAATGGGAGATATCGTTTTCCGATGATCTTTTGGGTTTTAAACCTATCATGAGGGTAATAAAGTTATTATTATTTATGGGATCATAGTAACAATTTTTATTTCTCTGTAAATGCACGTGCAGGTGTTGGCGTTTGATAAGGATATTGGCATAAATGGACAACTTCAATATACCATAAAATCAGGAAAGGAAAAAAGTAGGTTCAGGATAAATAATTCAACCGGTATTATATATTCCCAAAAGGCACTGGAAGCAGGACAAGAATATGAATTAAATGTAAGTATCAATTTCAGCTTTATTGCCATTTTGTCCAATATATACGCTATGTTATTACATATATTTAAAGTGGAGGAATGCACAGTTTCATGTTCAAGCAGTTGTCTTTTCTGGCTAGTCCCAGCAATAAATATCAAGTATCTGATTCGCCCGGGTTATTTCTTTTATGTTAAAATTATATTTATTTCTTTATAAACAGGATACTCTTCTAAGAATCTAAAGTTGAAGAATTCTTCTCATAATAATCCTATTTGCCTTCAATACACGTGCTTTCAGAACTTTTATTTTCAGTCCGAAAATAGTCTGATGGAACGTGCATGGTTCAGTAAATATTACTTGGTAACAGAACGCGTCTCGTCTCCTCCAGGAGATTAAAAATACTTCCAGAAGAAAATTAATTTCGCCTCCTCTTGTGTATGTCACGCCCTCTCCGCTACTCTACTACCAAAACCCAAAAAGATATAAAGTTTCACTATCTTTAGATTTTCCGTCTGGCCATCGTTAGCGTTTCACTTCCGTTGTTAAATCCAACAAACAGCTAATGATCTAAGAGCGTGAACACAAATATCGTACCAATAAAAATGCTGTACATAACAGAAATTTATTGTGTTTGTCGTTCATTTGGAGTTGTTTTTGAATTGGCTTTATTTAGAAATCTGAACGTTCCTCGTCGAGAGCTGCACCACGGGATTGTTTTTCTTTTTCGTTCTTTCAAACATCTGGAAAATACCGATCCGAACTAATGATGCGAATTTGTATTACTAAAACAAACGAACAACTCGATCTACAAAAGACCCAAGGTTGTGATTCAAGCGAGGGGTACCTAATGTTTATTTTCCACGTGTGTGAAATGGTCATTACTTCCACCCTAAGGCCTAAACGATTGAACGAATGTAGAATAGCAAACCTTTGCTGAATCTTAACACAGCAGGTGACATAGGTTAAGTAGTGTCACCAAATAAATATTATGTAGAACGGCAGCTCTCCTGATAGATTTAAATTTTGTTTCCAAAGAATAATTAATCCAAGAAATCAATATTAGTCATTTAATAATGTATTATTCGTATTAAAAACACTCAAAATATTAACTTGTTAAATTACATACTCCAAAGTACTTTAAAACGAAAAAAAGCTTATAACTATGAATTTAAGCAAAAGTTTGAAGAAGCACAACATTTTTGGTTTTTGTAAATCATTAGATCAGAGCGACTGATGGCGGAACTCCACCAAGGAGTGCAACAGCTCATGTATCAATATTGGCTGTTCAAAATGGAAACAAAAACTCAAATGCCCCCGTTGTAAAACCTTCATCAAGGGTCGAAGTTACCGAAAATGACAAGATAGGCTTTCTTGTTACCCTTATTCAAGCTACTGACGAAGACGGCGACGTTTTGTGGTTCGATATCGTTGGTAAGTACTGCATTTGTTATACAGATTAAAAATAGGGCTAGGCAATTATTGAATCTAACAATTAATTATCCATTCGATCGATTATTTGGAGTAATCGGAAAAATCGATTAAAAAAAATCAGTAATACTTAACCCAAACATAATACATGTTCTAGATGAGGTTGTTCTTTTGATCTTCTTATTTGAAAGCAAACAGGATGTTATTCTAGAATTTTTGTCGGCACATGTCTCATATCCGGCTCCAAACTGATTTTGGTGGTGGTTGGAGCCAACATAAGGTTTACGTGCATTGCCGCTGGCTTTCCTGGGTCATCGTCAAAGCCCTAATATTAGCTACACACGTTGTAGCCTTATTGGACTAAAAATCGATTTCTAAGTTTTTGGATTTTTCGTATTAATTGGTTGCGATTAATCCTATAATAAATTAATCGATTACATCAATTGATTATTTGATAAATAGGTTTTCTTTAAAAAAATAAATATCGATTTATAATCAATTAGGTAATCGATTAGATAATCGATAATTTGCCCTGCCCTAACTAAAACTTCGTCAATTAAGTTCTTCGAGGATATGGTAGGTATCTAATTGACCAAAAACTTCTAGGTGGCGATCCTCGATACGAATTTTACATAGGTTGTGATAGTGGTAATGTTTTATTAGCCCGGCAACTAGATCGCGAGGTCCAAAGCGAATATACTCTGAACATCAGCGTCACTGATTCCTTTACGACCGTATATACTCGACTCGACGTTACTGTAATCGATATCAACGAGCACCGTCCAGAATTTTCTAAACAATTATACAAAGCCGAGATATCGGAAAACGTATCCGTCGGAACGGAGCTTCTCCAATTGCAAGCGACTGATAAGGACGACGATAAAAAGCTTATATACGGTTTGCACTCTGCAAGAAACGCCGCATCCCTTAAAACATTCAAAGTCGACTCTGCGACCGGCCGCATCACTCTAGCGTCACGTTTGGACAGAGAGACAATTTCCGAACATTATTTAACAGTTGTTGTTAGGGATGGCGGTACACCAGCAAAACGAAACTATGCTCGAGTTCTCGTTGTTGTCCATGATCATAATGATCACACACCTGTATTTTCTGAACGGATTTTGGTCGGTCGAGTATTCGAATCGACAGCGGTCGGTAGTGCTGTACTTCGAGCATACGCTGTGGACGAAGATCATGGGGAAAACGGTCGAGTTACATACTCGATTACGGGAGGTAATGTTGGTAACGCGTTTGGTATCGATCCGGAAACGGGTGTTATCCGGATAACTCGAGAACTCGACGTCTTAGCGGCCAGCGAATACACCTTGTACATCCGAGCTATGGATCATGGCAATCCGAGTTTGGCCTCGTCAATTCCTGCCCATATAACGGTCGCAATGGCCGATAACGCTCCACCGCGTTGCGTCGATGCAGAAGTTGCTGCGGAAGTGTTTGAAGATAAACCATTAGGCGGATATGTAGCTCATTTGGATGTGAAGAGCACGTCTTCATTACAGTTCGAGATAATTAGTGGAAATGATGATATGGACTTCGCAATCAGTCCAAGTACAGGTGTTATCGTTACCGCTAACGAACTCGACTACGAAAGAAACAAAATCTACAACCTGACGGTCTTAGCATCAAATATGGTAAGTATCTTAACTGTACAATAAAGCAGATGTTAAAGGACAGTTTTTTTATTTTTTCTTTAATGACTTAATTTTTTGTTGATTTTCTAATTATTTTGAAATTGGCATTCAATAAACAGTGGGAACTTGGAATGATACGTTTCAGCTATTTCCTTTCGCAAGCAGTTTGACAAACAAACGTGAAGTTTGTTTAATAATAAGATGTACTGGTTCAATTTTCATACGTTCCAATATTGTCAAGAAAGTTTAGCCTCATTGTATGGACATGTGATGCACATTGTCCTTCTCATTTACCACGGCAAACTTTGCTGGCAGGACACGTGCGAGCATTCTCAACGTGACACTCTTCGGTTCAGTCTCACGTTGATATTTCTCACTTAAAAGGAATTCATAGTAAGACGTTTCATCGGTAACTACGGCTGTCTATAACTTCCTTGAGAATGAGTATATTTAAGAACATAAAATCGAAAAATAAATATTGCCATTAATATTTTCCAGGTCTATACAAAGTTGCTCAATCCTTAAATCTCCTTTATCCTCATTATTTCCGTTTTGCTTAGTTCTTCTCCTTTTATTTTCAGGCAAGTGCTACTGTCAAATGCCACGTGATTGTCCATGTCCTGGACGTAAACGATAACGCTCCTCGCTTCCTTCAAGCCACTTATACAGGCTCAATAAGCGAAGCGGCGGCTATCGATTCACTTGTCATGACCAGTAGCAGTGAACCGTTGGTCATAAAAGCAATTGATGCCGATTCCGAGACAAATGCCCTTTTACAATACGATATTATCGAATCTTTGCCACAAAGATACTTCAGCATAGACGCAAATACCGGTGCATTAAAGACGGTCCGTAGTCTCGATCGCGAAACTTTCGATCATTTTACGTTTCACGTTCAAGTGTCCGATTTGGGCAAACCGCGTCTATCATCTGAAACAACGGCCAAAGTTCATGTGGTCGTAACGGATGTTAACGATTGTCCGCCGGAATTCTCAAAATCCATATATAACGCCACTGTCCTATTACCAACATACAAGGATGTCACTGTCGTGCAACTGAACGCCACAGATCGCGACGAAGACTCTAATAATCTCAGGTACGACATAATTGATGGAAATGACGGAAGCTTTGATAACGATCCACGTTCCGGTACCATAACCGTCTCCGATCCGAACAATTTAAAACCGTTCCATCGAATGCAAGTACGTGTTTCTGACGGTAAACACTCTTCAGTCGTTAAAGTATACGTGAAAGCAATCCCTTCGGAAAGTTCGGGTCTTGTATTCCAAAAAGAAATGTATACGGGAACCGTACTGGAAAATTCGACGAAAGTCTCCACCGTGTGCGTCGTTAATGTTCTCGGGAATGATTTATACGAACATGTTGAGTTTCGAATTTTGAATCCCACGCAAATGTTTAAAGTTGGCCTCACGTCCGGAGTTATTCGTAATACGGGGAAAAAGTTTGATCGGGAAATAAAAGATCATTACGAATTGATCGTGGAAGCGATTAGCCGAGTGCCCGATAGCGATAAGCCGCGAGTGGCGCACGTTATGGTCAACGTTACTGTTTTGGACGTTAATGACAATTGCCCGATGTTCGTCAATCTCCCATACTATGCAGTGGTTTCAGTGGACGATGAAAAGGGAAGCGTCATCGGCAAAGTCCATGCCATCGATATGGATTCGTTTGAAAATGGAGAGGTACACAATTAGGATTTTTATTTTTTATTCATTTTCAATTTCACTTCAAAATCGTCAACTAATCGTTTTTCTTTTAAATTTCATTTCCAACACATCATGGACTTCTATTTATTGAAAAACTCATTGTAAAGCATTATAGTCAGTTATAGAACCCAGCTAATAAATGCTAACAGTAAACTATTCAAATGGATTTGCTTATTTAATAGAAATACCTAAGAGAAAATTATAATTTTTAATTTTGTTTATTTGTAATGATTGTAGAACTATTAATATTGATATCTTATTTGAAATAAGTAAAATTTTGTAATCGTTATTGAAATTATGATTTTCAGCTGTTTGATTTACTTTAGATAAGGATTTAAAGTTGAATCTTAAAAATATCAAAATCAGAACTTAGTCTCTGACTTCCTGTTAAATAATTAAAAAGATTTGAATAGTTCACTTTTGTTAAATTGATTTTAAAACTCGAGATTCTGGGTTTACATCGCATCAAAATATGTATTTTCGACATTATGTTGGACATTTTCAAGGCTCTTTCGATTTTGACTGGTGTCTAATATAGAAGAACTAGTTTAAAAGTGGTAAAAATTATGAAAAATAAGGATATGATATAAAATATTTAATTTAATTTGACTAAACAAAGACCAGCAATTCAAGAAAACAACATGAGTAAATTATAAACAAATATATAGGTACTTACTATTGTCATACTTCGTTTTCGTTCTTCCAAAAGACAGTCAACATGAATTGGCCTGTAGGTTGCATTGCTAAAGATTTATTCCATTCCTTTTCAAAATAATAAAATGCCACATTATTGACTTTCAATCTAAAATTTTAATGGAGGTCCACTTTATCAAAGGTTCGCTACGAGTTAATCAAAGGCCATGGAGAATTGTTCAAAGTCCAACGAGAAAGTGGCGAGATAGAGTTGAAACAAAGTTTGGAAGGACACAATAGAGAATACGAGTTGGTCGTGGCAGCTTACGATAAAGGTACATTCGTTATAAATTCAAAAGACAAGAAAGAAGAGAATTCTAGCGTATGAGTTTTAGGAATTCCGCCCTGCAGAACGGATGTCAAAGTTCACATCAAAGTCGTTGATCGATCGATGCCCGTTTTCAAGAAACAATTTTATTCGGAAGAAGTTGCAGAGAATGTTGAACTACATTCACCGCTTTCAGTTCTAATTCAGGCCGAATCTCCTCTTGAAAGAAAACTCATTTACACCATCGTTAGCGGCAATGACCAGGAAAAATTTGCTCTCGATTTTAACACAGGTCAGTCTAATTAATGATAATTAAAGTTATTTTTAGGTTTCGCGCTTCTAATTAAGTCATCACCACCTCGTTCGCCTTTCAGGAAATTTAAGATGAAAGATTTATTCAACAATAGGTACTGAAACTTTGTTGATTTTGAATTCTACTTTTAGACGTTACACTTTCCTTTTCAATCTTTTTTCTTATATTCTCTAATAAGTAACAGCAGAGATTATTGATTTTTCCTCAGGTTTGCTATCAGTAATCGACGAATTGGACTTCGAAATGAAGCAACAGTACGAGCTAATAATTCGAGCGACGGATTCTATTTCCGGAGTTCACGCAGAGGTTCCAGTATCGATCGTGGTACAGGATGTAAACGATTGTCCTCCAGAATTCGATCAAGAAAGCTACAACGTTTCGATTTCGGAAGCCGCTCCGTTTGGAAGCACAGTTGTAACTGTTTTCGCTAAAGACAATGACACAGGCATAAACCGAAAAGTAAAATATTCTATCTTAAACGATAGGGACAATTCAACGAACTATTTTCATGTCGACGAAGATGATGGGACGGTTTATCTAAAGCAATCTCTCGACCATGAGCGAAAAACATTGCACCATTTCATTGTGGTGGCTACTGATCAAGGAATGCCAAGTTTGTCCAGCATCACTCACGTCTGGTTAACAGGTAAGAATGTGATGTTTATAAAATTAAATCTTCTCTCGCTTCAACGTTATGTCTTAGTATTTGCAATTGGTTTTCGATAATGATCGTCTATCGAAGCAATTGTAAAGCATTGATAATAAACTGTTGAAACACCAAATACTTCATTATTCGTAATTTATTGTCTTACAGTTATTGATATGAATGACAACACTCCGAAATTCGAACAATCGTCATACGTAGCAGGCTTATCAATACACGCTCGAAGGGATCAATTCGTCACTGCGGTAAAGGCTTTCGATCCCGATTCTATAGACCAAAAGAATCTTAAATATGGCATAGTATCTGGCAATCAACTTCAAACATTTTCTATCGATCCCCGAAAAGGAATCGTCACGCTCATAAATTTATCCAATTTCGGTGATCAAAGGAGTTCGATTTTAAACGTATCAGTATCAGACGGAGTGTACACGAGTTTTGCGAAATTGAAAGTCGATCTTTTGGCAGCTAATTTACACTCTCCGTCGTTTCCGAACGCAGTTGTTGACGCGTTCGTTCCAGAAAATAAACCCGCGGGACAACTTGTAACCACCGTAAAAGCGATTGATGAGGATTTCGGAGAATTCGGAACTATAACTTACTCTATACAGTCGCAAATGTTGGAGGAAGTGTTTTCTATTGATAAAAATTCAGGAAAAATAACGACCACCAAAGCGTTAGACAGAGAAGCGCAAAAAATTTACGAAGTACCAGTGGTAGCTTCCGATGGTGGCGGAAAATTAGGTTTCGTAACCGTCAGAGTCAAAGTACTGGATGATAACGATAATGCTCCTAAATTTTATTTAAAAGAATATAAAGCAAGCATTGACGCAAATCACAGTTTGGATATTTCCTTTTTAAAGGTAAATTTAAGAAATATTTGGTATTATTGGGAGTCCTAAAGAATAATTAATTGAACAGGTTCGAGCGTTTGATTTAGATGAGGATGCTGCGGGTGAAATTGAATATTCCATTTACGACAAGAAATTGGCAGGTATTAATGATCTGATTTCGATAAACCCACGCACTGGGGAACTATTCCTAATGAGTAATGCGCAAAAATTGAGTAAGTTAATAAATTATGGAAATACTTATAATTAATCAATGAGTTTAACTACGTACGATTTTATTTATTTTTAGCGGGTCGCCTTTTCCAATTTTTTGTCAGAGCAGCAAATCCTGGAGGAAGCTCTATGCATAATGACGTGCCAGTTGACATACTTATCAAAGAACCTAATGAAAGTGCACCAATATTTGAGAGGAAGGACGAAAAGTTTTTCCTTCCTGAAAACTCGGCTGCAGGTTTGCATCCATCATTACTTATATACATCTCCAATATATCTAAATAAATTGTTATGCAGGAACGATTATTACAAGATTAAAAATGGCTTCGAACGTTAAAGTAAATTATAAAATCGTTTCAAACTTCAAATACGAGCAACTGTTTGATGTCGATAAAAGTGGTCAATTAACACTGATCGGACCTTTAGACTTCGAATCTCAGCAATCGCATGTGATCGGTGTTGTGGCAGAAACGGATTCCAGTCCACCGCTTACTTCACTTACCGAAATATTTTTGCAAGTTTTAGATGAAAATGACCATTCGCCCCAATTTGAAAGTAATCCTTACATAGTGAATCTCGCAGAAAATGTGGACGAAGGCAGTCCAATACTGAAAGGTAAATTATAAACTCCAATAAACCTCTTCTAGTGGCTGGTATCTATTAATAGCAAATCATTTTCTGATCTGTGGATCTTCTTAAACGGTTGCCCAGTTGGAGTTGTCACTTCAAAATTTCACCGGTAACTATGGCAAGCATCCTTGGGGATTATTGTTGGATTGAACATGTGTCCTGGGTCTGCCTCAATCTTTATGCAATTATTACAGAAAGTGCTACCACCACAGGTTCAGCTCAAAAACAATACCTGAGGATGCCTGTCACCGCTGGAGAGAACACCGATAGACGGGTCACCCGGGGAAGAGAATTCCAATATCATGGCAATCATGCCAGGAAAATAGTCTTTTATAATTTTATGTTTTTCCTGTGGTGTCTTGCAAATTATCTTTTTTTTTGTTCTAGTTGTTGCTAACGACAAAGATCAAAGAAGTAATGGCGAAGTCAGGTACAGTTTTAGTTCAGATTCCGAAGAAACCCTGAACACATTCGCTATTGATCCTTTTTCTGGTACAATTACGACTTTGGTTGATCTCGATAAAGAATCGGTGTCCGAGTATAAGTTCCACGTAACTGCAGTAGACAACGGTAGTCCAAAACATTCGGCAAGGACGACTGTTATAGTGAAACTGAAAGATTACAACGACAATCCTTCCGTTTTTGGCAGCAGAACGTACGAAAGTGAAGTTTTTGAAGACGCTCTCCCTGGCACAGTGATCCTTACACTTGATCTGCGAGATGCTGATGCTGATCTGCCTTTTTCCGTGGAATATTTCATTACTTCTGGTGACGATGGTTCTCAGTTCAGTATTCGAAACACTGGAGAATTATACGTAATCAAACAACTGGACAGAGAGACCGTTGCCAATTACACTTTGGATGTTTTAGTTTCCGACGGAAAATTTACTGATATTACAAAAGTATATATCCAAGTGCTAGATGTGAACGGTATTGGATATGAAACACTCTCTTTTTAATTATGTTTATTGTTGAATTTACCCTTACAGATAATCTACCATACTGTATTCACCATCGATACAGAAGAACATTATCAGAGGGTCTCTTGCCTGAATCATTTGTCCTGAAAGTTTTGGCTTATGACATCGATAAAGCGGAAAATTCAAAGTTAAAGTACATCTTAACTGGTGATGGATCCGAAGATTTCGTACTACATAAAGAAGAGGGTCTACTAAGTACAGCCGTTCTATTAGATCGAGAAAGAAAATCAAAATATTCACTGGTCGCCCACGTCCAAGATAAAGAACATGCCGATTGGGAGTGTTTATCAGAAATAGAAATAACCATATCCGATTTAAATGACAATAGTCCTCAATTTTCCATTCCTTATTATTCCGTTTCCTTGCCGGAAGATGCCGAAATCGGAACTCTCGTGACCAAAATCCACGCTACAGACAAAGACGTTGGTGTTAACAGGAAAATAAGTTATTACTTGTCTGAATCATCTGATGACCACTTTAAGGTCGTTCCCAACACAGGAGTGGTGATCTTAGCGAAATCATTGGATCGCGAACTTCAAGCTATGTATAACGTAACAATTGAAGCAATAGATCAAGGAGTCCCGCAGTTATCATCCAGAATCAGTATGATCGTAAATGTCCAGGACATCAACGACAATCCACCTGAGTTCACAAGAAAATCCTATTTTGCTTCCGTTCCGGAAATAGACGCCGTCGGTACGGAAATCGCGCGTGTATTGGCAACGTCGATAGACGCGGGAGTGAACGCGGATGTTTATTATTCTATCATAGGCGGCAACGAACATCGAAAATTCATTATAAATAATCGCACCGGTGTGATAACTATTGCGGAAATGTTGGACTACGAAAGAGCCAAAGAATATTTCCTAACGGTCCAAGCCATCGATGGCGGGATTCCGCCTCTAAGTAATGTTGCAACTGTAAACGTAACCGTGATTGATTGTAACGATAACGCACCGGTGTTTAGTCAAAGTGCATACATGGCCAGAATACGAGAAGACGCTTTGATAAATGATAAAATAGTCCAGGTAAGTCCAATATGTCCTTTTGAAATCAATACACATTTCAGTAAATTATTACAAACTTTTGCAAAGGTAACTGCAACCGATTTGGACAGTGGTGAAAATGGCAAAATCACCTATTCAATAATCAGGGGGGACAATCATGGCCAGTTTGCAATTGACCCTGAGACGGGTTACATTTCGGTGGCCGATCACTTAGATCGGGAAACCATTTCGAATTATGTGATTGAGGTTCTTGCCAAAGATGGTGGTTTGCCGGTTCTTTCCAATCAGGTGTTGGTCACTATTGAGATATCAGATGCAAACGACAATGCTCCAATTTTTGTTCAATCTAATTATACTGCAGTAGTACAGGAAGATAAATCCATTGGCCATCCGATATTAAAATTTGTTGTAACTGACGCAGACTCTCCACCAAATACTCATCCATATACTTTTGATTTCTTGAGCGGGAACGAGGGTAACTTTTTCCGATTAGAACAGGATGGAATCCTAAGGACTGCAACTAAATTCAATTACAAAATCAAAGACACTTATTTCCTCCAAATACGGGTTTTTGACAATGGCACTCCACCTTTGTTTTCTGACACCTGGGTAGTTATCAAAGTAATTGAGGAATCTCAGTATCCCCCGATTATTACTCCTTTAGACATATATGTTAATTCTTATCGAGATGATTATCCCGGAGGAGTAATTGGAAAAGTTGTGGCGAATGATCAAGACCAGTACGACATCCTCACGTTTTCTTTGGCGCCCACAATGGGAGTCAATTATCCGGCTCATGAATTATTCCAAATTCACCAAACAGACGGAACTCTTATAGCTCTTCCGCGCTTAGATGTCGGTGATTATCGCATTAATGTAACCGTTACCGATGGCAAGTTTACTGCCCACACCATTGTTAAAGTGAATGTCGAAATAATAACGGAAACCATGATCGAAAACGCTGTCGCTGTAAGATTTCGTCACGTCAGTCCGGAGTCCTTTATTTTGAGTCACAAGAAAGGTTTCGTCAAAACCGTACAAACCACTATGAATTGTCACTCTAAAGATGTCATCATTGTCAGTGTGCAGCCATCATCCGATATATTGCAAGATTTCCGATCGAAACGGGATTTGTTCCAAAGAGATTTGGACGTGCTCTTTGCTGTTCGTAAATCCGCGGAAGAGTTTTACACATCAGATTCGATAAGAAAAGCATTGAATGGAAAAATTGAAGAGTTAGAAGAAAGTACAAAACTTGTAGTGGACGATATAGCTGCAATGAAATGTTCCAATTCTTTCTGTGTTCATGGGGTTTGTCAGGACCGCTACATTCTTCACGAAAATGATATTGAACCAATTGCTACAGATGTGGTCAGCTTCGTGTCACCAAAACACCACAAGAAAGTCGAATGTTTGTGTAAGGAAGGGTACGGAGGCGAAAAATGCGATGCAATAGTCAACGAATGTGCTAGAGAACCGTGTCCTGTTTACAAGATATGCTTCCCTGATGCTTCTTTAGAAGGATACACCTGTCAATGTCCTGAGGGATTTGCGGGAAACAGCTGCGAAGTCGATATATCTAAGTGTCATGACGAAACGTGCTACGTGGCCAGAAATCCAATATCGTTTACCGGTAAAAGTTACTCCCAGTATCGCATAATAAACAAGAAATTAATCGAAGAAGAACTCAGTCTAAGTTTACGAGTTCGCACCACTCAGCTCACTGGAAACTTAATGTATGCCGCTGGAATAATCGATTATAATATCTTGGAGGTAAGTATTTCAATAGTACACTAACCATCTATTTTGGATTGCTCTCCTTCTTCCTTGTTTGGTGGAAGAAGGGGAGTCTTGAACGGTTAGTGCAACAGAACTTTAACAATATTTCAGATAATGAATGGAGTAGTTCAGTACCGTTTTGACCTTGGAAGTGGTGAGGGCATCGTTCGAGTAACATCTCCATACATTTCTGATGGTAAATGGCACGAAATTCACCTGGAACGCGATCGAAATACAGCTAAAATAACAGTCGATGGTGATTATATGGCTCAAGGTTCGGCACCGGGAATCAATGACGTTCTCAACCTTCAGAATGATGAAATGTATCTCGGTGCAGAAGTGCATCAGCATCCATCTATCCTTGGTTTCGAAGATGTCCAAAGAGGATTCTACGGCTGCATGGATGACGTGCGCATATCACGTGTTTCAATTCCCTTGCATCAATCGGGAGACAATTCGATAGCTGTGCTTAAACGATTCGCAAACGTAAAATTTAGTTGTGAATCGTCCACTATGCTTATACCACCAGGTCCATGTACATCCCAACCTTGTCTAAATGGTGGAACGTGTCGCGAAACGGCTACAGGATTTGAATGTAAATGTCACTCGCGTTTCGCTGGCGTATTATGTGAGCTCGATACCGATCCTTGTGCGTCTGCGCCTTGTCTACATGGTGGCGCTTGCTTAGCTGAAATGGGGGGAGACTATACTTGCGATTGCGTACCACGGCTAACAGGTAAACGCTGTGAATATGGAAAGTATTGTGTACCCAACCCTTGCAAACACGGAGGTGTATGCGAAGAAGGAAATGATGGACCGCTATGTAAATGTCGGGGTTTTGCCGGCGAATTCTGTCAGTTCGATGTCGACGAGTGTGAGTCATCGCCATGTCAAAATGGTGGTGTTTGTCATAACGAAATTGGCAGCTTTAAGTGCCTTTGTCCTCCAAATACCACTGGTGTTTATTGTAACCTGCTTACACGATCCGAATCAATCTTGGCTAGTATATACAACATAAAGTTGGAATTCCTTATATACATTGGTGTAGCTGCGCTTCTTTTAATTTTGCTCATAATTACGTTAATAGTTTGTGTTGTAAAGTTGAAAGGAAAACGATCGCAAAGACATCAGAACATAATAAACAATGAAACAAGAAAAGAGCACCATAATAACAAACCTAACGAGGTAGCTGAAGTCAAACGAGGTTCGAAACTGAGTAATTTAGAAGTCAATCAAAGAGACGTGCCGATTTGTTTACCTAGGCCTTTATCGTATACTCCTAGCTCACAAATGGAGTCTCCTTATGTTTGTAATAATGCAATTTTGTTGAATAATTTGGATACCCTGCGCAGCTACGGTTCGGCCGGAGATGAACTTGAAGTCCCAGCCGATTACGTGCGAAATTTAAATTCGCAACAGAATTCGATCGGAAATCACACTGAATTAAAGACCACGTGGGCCGAACAAATGCAGTTGGCTAATTCGTATGAGAAACAAAAAATTAAAAATGGTAAGCTCATTTATCAATCAATAAAATGTGACGAACAAAATTACTAATAACATGTGTTTCTGTGCTTAGATTTAAAATTATCAAGCGGATCTGCCAATAGTGACGTTACCAGGTTATATGGAGGAAAAAGTAATACAGTGCCTGTCATTAGTAAATTTAATGGATACCCCTCTGTAACTTCCACCTCATCTGAAGAAGACCAAAGAACAGTTGGAAGTAAGTAGAATAAGATCTCATACACTTTTGATCATCGTATTGACTTTAAATTTTAACCCGATGCTATCCGATGTTGTAGGTTACCACTGGGATTGTTCGGACTGGGCGAGACATAGTCAGACTTTACCAAACATTACTGAGGTGCCGGGTAGCGAAGTTCCCGATTCGTCCAGTTTTCACAGTAATGAAAGTAATGAGTCCCAGTCACTCCTTCACCAGTGCCATTACTTGCCAGGATCGCACTCGCATCAAAAGCATCGCATTGACGAGCCGAGAAATCGCGACCCTTTGAACGAAGACTTGGAGTCGGAAGAGTGTATGGCCGATAGCGAACTTGACGCAAGAGCAGCTAGTCCTAATCTTAATGCCCTTAATAGTTGTAATGAAGAATTTCAATTCACTTCAGGTAAGTTTTTAAAAATTACTTTGGGTATAAAAATAAAGTATACTGGGTGGGGCCGTAGTCATAGTTAAAGGTAGGCATTTAACATAAATGCATTCTTGTTCATTATAAACAGAATCCAAATTTACTTAAAAAATTCACAAGTCTGCGATTTTATTATACAGCACATAATCAAATTGTTTTTGTAATTTTTAAACGGTTTACCTAACGTCACTTCTGCCTAATAACCAAGTATGGTGATTAAATTCCCATTACCCAAATGCGTCCAAACTATTTATCTAGTGAACTGATGCTATCCTAATTTGAGTCTGATGGCTCCGATGCTGGGGGGGGGGCATACCGGTCACTACCATTTAAGTGTTCCTGAGGATCGAATTCCAGATCTGGTTGAGTCTGAGAGCTTCTTCTTCTTCTTGTTAAAGTCTTGTTGACCTCTCTAACCATCTTTCCATTGACCGAAGCTAACAAAATTTGCAATTCTTAGAGACTATTTTGTGATCGCCGTTGCTCAGTGAGTGTTCGGTCATAGCCGATTTTTCACTGTCCTAGCCGGCGTCTTGCTTTGTACTCCTTAAGGCTCGTCCCTATCGATCTCTTAGTGGTTCCTATAAAGACCTTTCCACAGGAAGAGGGTATGCGGTAGATCCCTACGAATGAAAGAGCACCCCTTTTGTCTTTAGCTGATCTAATGGTCTGCTGGGTCTTCTTCGTATGTTTGAAGATGGTACTAATGTCGTGTCTCTGCAAGACTGCCAATTGATAAACATGCTAGAGGGGTAGTGCGCCGTTCGTTAATCTCTGGTGCCTTTAATCTGTTCAAGTCTATTGATCTCTTGATCTCCCTCATTTTTTAGTAATTTGCTTCGAAAGCGGTTTTTAAGTATTCCAGTTCCGCCTGGAGGTTTCTAGCTCGTTCAGTCAAGGTCCTGTTGATGTCATACTACTTGGTGGTTCGAAGAATACTGACTGTTTGTCATTCTCAGCCTCAATGGTGAACTGCATGCTGGGGTATTGTCTGTTCAGATGTTGGAGGAAGTGGTTCAGCTTTTGCATTCCGTATTCCCAAATTACGAAGCTGTCATGCATGTATAGGAACCAAGCAGTTGACTTGTACTCCGAGGTCTCGATAGCATTCTTCTCAATGTGTTCCATGAACACGTTGGTCATAACCGGACTTATTGGGCTTTCAATTTACCAGCTCGTAGCAGTCCCCCTTCCATACAAAGAAGCTTCCAGTGAAGCAAATCTGAAAGAGATTGACCATCAGGTCAAGGCACCCTCTCAGCGGTATTTTAGTGATCCGAAACGATGTCGAAACTCGCAAGGATGTCTCCTGGCTTCAATGTTGATTTCTCAGATCTTGCGCACGAAATCAGTGGAGTTCTTCATGTAACTAGTACTCATTTCCACATGAAGACACATAAAAGGATTGAACATTGTGATCAAAACTGATTTGTGATAATCTACATTGATTGCCTGTCCTGGGGGGACAGCATTTTTGTACAAAAACCCTCAAAATCGAAAAACATTATTTTTTTAACCTAATAATATCATAAGGTGCATTAAATCTTCACCATACAACGCAGTTAATAATTCATACGCTTTCAGTTACATAAAAGGTGAATGCAGATATGCAATATTTTCTGTTGGGTATTTATTTTTTAATATAACAGAAATGTTTATATCAATTCCATTTCTGTATGCGTTCCCTTGATTACCTACTCGTATTTGCATTTTTTAAATTTAAATTTTCTTCTTGTAGGGCGAAAAGAAACTGCAGTTTAAGTGTTAAATATGAGTTTAGTAAGTTTTAATATTATTAAAGCTTGCTAGAAAGCACTTTTTTGTGTCGTTTGCGAGTGAACAATTTTTAATCTTTGTAAATAGAATTTTCCATAAAGCACCTGTGATACTGAACTTAGGTTGCAATCGTACAGGTGTTTTTACTAAACCCCTTAATAGTACACTTCATTATTGTTTGATTTGATACTAAATATACTTAGTCTTCCCTGTCTGTGACACTAATAATAAACGTTTTGTTTTTATTTCTGGCAGTGCCTTTAAAAGTTAACAAAGCAAGTAAGTTATATAAATTAACAGTGTTATCTTTACTACCTACTAGTACCTATAGCTAAGCATAATGCTGATATTTGATGTTGCATGAATGGCATGAAAATTGGACAACCCAACTTTTACGTACATTTTTATTTTATTTTTGTTCCAACATTAGATACAATTGCAATATTCTGTTTTTCTTATTTTTTTTTTTTTCATATCAAAATAATTTGTTTTAAAAATCATTTTATTTTACAATCTTACTTAAAGAAACTTAAAATTATGTCAGCTGAATGCGATGAAAATGGCTTTTAAATCTTTTTATTTTAACCCCAGATTGAGCTAGTTTATTTGGATACTTAAGAATGTCTCAGGCATCAAAGTATCGAGTGTTCCTCCAGCTGTTTGAAGATATTTTTAACTTATTTTCGTTTAACAGGCAGCTTTGTGCGTCACCCTAATTCGTATTTACCGATACATGGATATAATATTCCTAGTGAGACCGAAGGCGACTGCCTTAATAGTTTAAGTCCAGATTCCGATGACGTAGAACCCTATGGTTTTCCTAGTAGTCGTGTAAGGAGGCCCATTCGAGACGACGAAACCGAATCAGTTATTACAACATTAGGTAAGATTTCCTTCAAAACATTTTTCTATTATTTGCGAAGATTTAACGGTTTTTGCAAAAACCAGGATCGCTTATCAAACTTTTCAGTGAAATTACCAAATAAATGTAATTATAATGTTTTGCCAATTAACTTTAGGATGCAGCTTTATAGACAGCATTTGTACTTTAAAATTATCTATTTTGATTGGCGTTAAGTAGCAATGAATTTCCTAAAGTGTGACGAAAACCTCAATAAAGTCGAGCTACCCATTGTTAAAGTACCTCTATTTTAATTCTGATAAATGGAGCCTCACTCTTGCTCTAATTCGTTGAAGAAATTCCCCAGTAGCACATGTGCGACTTGACGTAGATTTGAATCGATTCACAAGATGGCCGCCCACAACTAGCCAATCAGATAAATGATTTAAAACAATTCAACTATCATGCCTAAGTTAATCACCAACGGTGCATTGGAGGGTATACTTCATTGCATCAATTCTTAGATTGCATTTTCTTAAAAAATACTTTATTTCATTTGTAATAAATGCCTTAAAACTTTTAAATGTTTCTCAGGTATGAAAGTAATCCTCACAGTTTGTTATCAGTGGGGTAGTTTTGGTTTGAACGTTTTGTACATTCTCAATTGTTATTTCCGAATAGAACCAATTGAATAAATAATAATCTATGAATATTTATCCCATATAAAAAAGGCCAAGAAAATAAAAGTCTTACAAATGACAACCTTATTACAACAAAAAAAATAAATCGCATCGGTTTTCACTGTATCAAAAAATGAATAACAATTTAACGGAATGAAAGTTTAAACGCTTTTAGTTCTCTTTTCACTGTTAAACATATGAATTCAACAAACAAATTTAATGTATAATTTTTTATACAATATTTTGGTTTTTAAGTTTCTCTTTATCTTCAATACGTGATCATATTGTTTATTACTTCAATTTAAGGAAGTGCCTGTTCAACACTTTTTTTTCCTTTTACTAGCTGAAGAAAGGCACTCACTTCTGGGTGGCTACCCGAGTAACAGTGATCTTTCTGCAAATCTGTGCGAACTAGAAGATTCCGAATGCGAAAGTGAACAAAAGCCGCTAAATTACTTGCCACTTCATCAGACTTCTGTTTGACGTAAACTCTTTCATTCCATTAAAAAATTTTATCGTCGTCCCGGTTAACGGACCTTCGTCATAGTGGGTGCCGTTTTGACGTCATCGTTGCATTTATTAGTTGTACGACACATAGATTAAGCACTAACTAATATCTATTTATTAATATTAAGAACAAGAAAAACTGACCAATAAACAAAATAAGTTTTTTAAAGAAAAGAATATATTGTAATACGAATCCCAATGGTTCGGTGTTAGCATATCAACTGAATAAATTCCGTATAATGTTATGCGTATTTTTTATATAGGAAAGAGTCTGTGAAGCGAAATCATTGGAGACATTTTCTCAATTTTTCTTTTTTGTTATTTATAAATAAAGCGAAACATTGTCTAAAGTGTAACTAATTTTATATGAAATTTATTGTATAACGTAAAAGACTTTAATTAAACCTGATAGTGCAAATCCTTGGTTTCTTCTTTCTAATTCGTTGTGAAGATGCCTCTGATTCAGAGGCAGAGATAAAATAAAGATATCGTCATATTTAAATGTTAAAGGTAAAATGAACCGCAGATAATAAAATAGAAATTAAAAAATTATAATTAAAAGCAATAAACAGAAGAACATGTTTAGTACCTACCTTTATTTCGAAGGTCATCATGAATCTGCTACTAAGAAGAAATGTTTGTTCAGCAGAAAATCCTCACTGCCCTTTAAAACATATGAACATTGTAAAGTTCTGCATTAAAAGGTGAAATGAGAGAGTACTTATCAGTCTCAATAACAGTTCACAAAAACACGTAAACACTACTAATTTTATTAGCGAATAGTCAAATAGATAAATTTAATGTTGTTCGTTCACAAATGTACTTCAAGAATTAACTTGTAAAAACTTTAAAGAACTTGTTTATTTCGAAGAAACACAAACTTAGATTAATCACTTGCAGCAAAATAGAGAGAATTCTACAAAATATAAATTAACTTAATAAGCAACATAAAATGAATCCGTTTAAAGGTTTTCCTCTAAATAATACACACTTAACCGCGATAAAGCGGTCGGGCACGATATATCGTGTTAGATATTACTAGTCATTGAATTAATCAAAGAGCTGTATTTCAACTTGCTAGAATTAAGATTTTGCTCTGAAGAACGAAGAAAAGTAGAAAAATAGAGATTAGATATGAAATAGATGTTTTTTAACAAATATTCTTTAGGATAATGAATAAAAGGAAAGAGAATTTTTAGAATTGACTCAAGAAAACGAAATTAATTGTTATTATGATTTATTAACAATATTAAATGTTTACAAACCATGTTAATTACTTATTAGTTATTACGAAAGGGAAATAATACAATGTTAACATAAAACATTACAAGAACACTCTCCAAAATTTTCTAAAACAATCAAAATTCTTAATGTAAATTTATGGTTACAAAATAAATAAATAAATACTTAATTACGTTATCAAANAAATGTCACTCGCGTTTCGCTGGCGTATTATGTGAGCTCGATACCGATCCTTGTGCGTCTGCGCCTTGTCTACATGGTGGCGCTTGCTTAGCTGAAATGGGGGGAGACTATACTTGCGATTGCGTACCACGGCTAACAGGTAAACGCTGTGAATATGGAAAGTATTGTGTACCCAACCCTTGCAAACACGGAGGTGTATGCGAAGAAGGAAATGATGGACCGCTATGTAAATGTCGGGGTTTTGCCGGCGAATTCTGTCAGTTCGATGTCGACGAGTGTGAGTCATCGCCATGTCAAAATGGTGGTGTTTGTCATAACGAAATTGGCAGCTTTAAGTGCCTTTGTCCTCCAAATACCACTGGTGTTTATTGTAACCTGCTTACACGATCCGAATCAATCTTGGCTAGTATATACAACATAAAGTTGGAATTCCTTATATACATTGGTGTAGCTGCGCTTCTTTTAATTTTGCTCATAATTACGTTAATAGTTTGTGTTGTAAAGTTGAAAGGAAAACGATCGCAAAGACATCAGAACATAATAAACAATGAAACAAGAAAAGAGCACCATAATAACAAACCTAACGAGGTAGCTGAAGTCAAACGAGGTTCGAAACTGAGTAATTTAGAAGTCAATCAAAGAGACGTGCCGATTTGTTTACCTAGGCCTTTATCGTATACTCCTAGCTCACAAATGGAGTCTCCTTATGTTTGTAATAATGCAATTTTGTTGAATAATTTGGATACCCTGCGCAGCTACGGTTCGGCCGGAGATGAACTTGAAGTCCCAGCCGATTACGTGCGAAATTTAAATTCGCAACAGAATTCGATCGGAAATCACACTGAATTAAAGACCACGTGGGCCGAACAAATGCAGTTGGCTAATTCGTATGAGAAACAAAAAATTAAAAATGGTAAGCTCATTTATCAATCAATAAAATGTGACGAACAAAATTACTAATAACATGTGTTTCTGTGCTTAGATTTAAAATTATCAAGCGGATCTGCCAATAGTGACGTTACCAGGTTATATGGAGGAAAAAGTAATACAGTGCCTGTCATTAGTAAATTTAATGGATACCCCTCTGTAACTTCCACCTCATCTGAAGAAGACCAAAGAACAGTTGGAAGTAAGTAGAATAAGATCTCATACACTTTTGATCATCGTATTGACTTTAAATTTTAACCCGATGCTATCCGATGTTGTAGGTTACCACTGGGATTGTTCGGACTGGGCGAGACATAGTCAGACTTTACCAAACATTACTGAGGTGCCGGGTAGCGAAGTTCCCGATTCGTCCAGTTTTCACAGTAATGAAAGTAATGAGTCCCAGTCACTCCTTCACCAGTGCCATTACTTGCCAGGATCGCACTCGCATCAAAAGCATCGCATTGACGAGCCGAGAAATCGCGACCCTTTGAACGAAGACTTGGAGTCGGAAGAGTGTATGGCCGATAGCGAACTTGACGCAAGAGCAGCTAGTCCTAATCTTAATGCCCTTAATAGTTGTAATGAAGAATTTCAATTCACTTCAGGTAAGTTTTTAAAAATTACTTTGGGTATAAAAATAAAGTATACTGGGTGGGGCCGTAGTCATAGTTAAAGGTAGGCATTTAACATAAATGCATTCTTGTTCATTATAAACAGAATCCAAATTTACTTAAAAAATTCACAAGTCTGCGATTTTATTATACAGCACATAATCAAATTGTTTTTGTAATTTTTAAACGGTTTACCTAACGTCACTTCTGCCTAATAACCAAGTATGGTGATTAAATTCCCATTACCCAAATGCGTCCAAACTATTTATCTAGTGAACTGATGCTATCCTAATTTGAGTCTGATGGCTCCGATGCTGGGGGGGGGGCATACCGGTCACTACCATTTAAGTGTTCCTGAGGATCGAATTCCAGATCTGGTTGAGTCTGAGAGCTTCTTCTTCTTCTTGTTAAAGTCTTGTTGACCTCTCTAACCATCTTTCCATTGACCGAAGCTAACAAAATTTGCAATTCTTAGAGACTATTTTGTGATCGCCGTTGCTCAGTGAGTGTTCGGTCATAGCCGATTTTTCACTGTCCTAGCCGGCGTCTTGCTTTGTACTCCTTAAGGCTCGTCCCTATCGATCTCTTAGTGGTTCCTATAAAGACCTTTCCACAGGAAGAGGGTATGCGGTAGATCCCTACGAATGAAAGAGCACCCCTTTTGTCTTTAGCTGATCTAATGGTCTGCTGGGTCTTCTTCGTATGTTTGAAGATGGTACTAATGTCGTGTCTCTGCAAGACTGCCAATTGATAAACATGCTAGAGGGGTAGTGCGCCGTTCGTTAATCTCTGGTGCCTTTAATCTGTTCAAGTCTATTGATCTCTTGATCTCCCTCATTTTTTAGTAATTTGCTTCGAAAGCGGTTTTTAAGTATTCCAGTTCCGCCTGGAGGTTTCTAGCTCGTTCAGTCAAGGTCCTGTTGATGTCATACTACTTGGTGGTTCGAAGAATACTGACTGTTTGTCATTCTCAGCCTCAATGGTGAACTGCATGCTGGGGTATTGTCTGTTCAGATGTTGGAGGAAGTGGTTCAGCTTTTGCATTCCGTATTCCCAAATTACGAAGCTGTCATGCATGTATAGGAACCAAGCAGTTGACTTGTACTCCGAGGTCTCGATAGCATTCTTCTCAATGTGTTCCATGAACACGTTGGTCATAACCGGACTTATTGGGCTTTCAATTTACCAGCTCGTAGCAGTCCCCCTTCCATACAAAGAAGCTTCCAGTGAAGCAAATCTGAAAGAGATTGACCATCAGGTCAAGGCACCCTCTCAGCGGTATTTTAGTGATCCGAAACGATGTCGAAACTCGCAAGGATGTCTCCTGGCTTCAATGTTGATTTCTCAGATCTTGCGCACGAAATCAGTGGAGTTCTTCATGTAACTAGTACTCATTTCCACATGAAGACACATAAAAGGATTGAACATTGTGATCAAAACTGATTTGTGATAATCTACATTGATTGCCTGTCCTGGGGGGACAGCATTTTTGTACAAAAACCCTCAAAATCGAAAAACATTATTTTTTTAACCTAATAATATCATAAGGTGCATTAAATCTTCACCATACAACGCAGTTAATAATTCATACGCTTTCAGTTACATAAAAGGTGAATGCAGATATGCAATATTTTCTGTTGGGTATTTATTTTTTAATATAACAGAAATGTTTATATCAATTCCATTTCTGTATGCGTTCCCTTGATTACCTACTCGTATTTGCATTTTTTAAATTTAAATTTTCTTCTTGTAGGGCGAAAAGAAACTGCAGTTTAAGTGTTAAATATGAGTTTAGTAAGTTTTAATATTATTAAAGCTTGCTAGAAAGCACTTTTTTGTGTCGTTTGCGAGTGAACAATTTTTAATCTTTGTAAATAGAATTTTCCATAAAGCACCTGTGATACTGAACTTAGGTTGCAATCGTACAGGTGTTTTTACTAAACCCCTTAATAGTACACTTCATTATTGTTTGATTTGATACTAAATATACTTAGTCTTCCCTGTCTGTGACACTAATAATAAACGTTTTGTTTTTATTTCTGGCAGTGCCTTTAAAAGTTAACAAAGCAAGTAAGTTATATAAATTAACAGTGTTATCTTTACTACCTACTAGTACCTATAGCTAAGCATAATGCTGATATTTGATGTTGCATGAATGGCATGAAAATTGGACAACCCAACTTTTACGTACATTTTTATTTTATTTTTGTTCCAACATTAGATACAATTGCAATATTCTGTTTTTCTTATTTTTTTTTTTTTCATATCAAAATAATTTGTTTTAAAAATCATTTTATTTTACAATCTTACTTAAAGAAACTTAAAATTATGTCAGCTGAATGCGATGAAAATGGCTTTTAAATCTTTTTATTTTAACCCCAGATTGAGCTAGTTTATTTGGATACTTAAGAATGTCTCAGGCATCAAAGTATCGAGTGTTCCTCCAGCTGTTTGAAGATATTTTTAACTTATTTTCGTTTAACAGGCAGCTTTGTGCGTCACCCTAATTCGTATTTACCGATACATGGATATAATATTCCTAGTGAGACCGAAGGCGACTGCCTTAATAGTTTAAGTCCAGATTCCGATGACGTAGAACCCTATGGTTTTCCTAGTAGTCGTGTAAGGAGGCCCATTCGAGACGACGAAACCGAATCAGTTATTACAACATTAGGTAAGATTTCCTTCAAAACATTTTTCTATTATTTGCGAAGATTTAACGGTTTTTGCAAAAACCAGGATCGCTTATCAAACTTTTCAGTGAAATTACCAAATAAATGTAATTATAATGTTTTGCCAATTAACTTTAGGATGCAGCTTTATAGACAGCATTTGTACTTTAAAATTATCTATTTTGATTGGCGTTAAGTAGCAATGAATTTCCTAAAGTGTGACGAAAACCTCAATAAAGTCGAGCTACCCATTGTTAAAGTACCTCTATTTTAATTCTGATAAATGGAGCCTCACTCTTGCTCTAATTCGTTGAAGAAATTCCCCAGTAGCACATGTGCGACTTGACGTAGATTTGAATCGATTCACAAGATGGCCGCCCACAACTAGCCAATCAGATAAATGATTTAAAACAATTCAACTATCATGCCTAAGTTAATCACCAACGGTGCATTGGAGGGTATACTTCATTGCATCAATTCTTAGATTGCATTTTCTTAAAAAATACTTTATTTCATTTGTAATAAATGCCTTAAAACTTTTAAATGTTTCTCAGGTATGAAAGTAATCCTCACAGTTTGTTATCAGTGGGGTAGTTTTGGTTTGAACGTTTTGTACATTCTCAATTGTTATTTCCGAATAGAACCAATTGAATAAATAATAATCTATGAATATTTATCCCATATAAAAAAGGCCAAGAAAATAAAAGTCTTACAAATGACAACCTTATTACAACAAAAAAAATAAATCGCATCGGTTTTCACTGTATCAAAAAATGAATAACAATTTAACGTAATGAAAGTTTAAACGCTTTTAGTTCTCTTTTCACTGTTAAACATATGAATTCAACAAACAAATTTAATGTATAATTTTTTATACAATATTTTGGTTTTTAAGTTTCTCTTTATCTTCAATACGTGATCATATTGTTTATTACTTCAATTTAAGGAAGTGCCTGTTCAACACTTTTTTTTCCTTTTACTAGCTGAAGAAAGGCACTCACTTCTGGGTGGCTACCCGAGTAACAGTGATCTTTCTGCAAATCTGTGCGAACTAGAAGATTCCGAATGCGAAAGTGAACAAAAGCCGCTAAATTACTTGCCACTTCATCAGACTTCTGTTTGACGTAAACTCTTTCATTCCATTAAAAAATTTTATCGTCGTCCCGGTTAACGGACCTTCGTCATAGTGGGTGCCGTTTTGACGTCATCGTTGCATTTATTAGTTGTACGACACATAGATTAAGCACTAACTAATATCTATTTATTAATATTAAGAACAAGAAAAACTGACCAATAAACAAAATAAGTTTTTTAAAGAAAAGAATATATTGTAATACGAATCCCAATGGTTCGGTGTTAGCATATCAACTGAATAAATTCCGTATAATGTTATGCGTATTTTTTATATAGGAAAGAGTCTGTGAAGCGAAATCATTGGAGACATTTTCTCAATTTTTCTTTTTTGTTATTTATAAATAAAGCGAAACATTGTCTAAAGTGTAACTAATTTTATATGAAATTTATTGTATAACGTAAAAGACTTTAATTAAACCTGATAGTGCAAATCCTTGGTTTCTTCTTTCTAATTCGTTGTGAAGATGCCTCTGATTCAGAGGCAGAGATAAAATAAAGATATCGTCATATTTAAATGTTAAAGGTAAAATGAACCGCAGATAATAAAATAGAAATTAAAAAATTATAATTAAAAGCAATAAACAGAAGAACATGTTTAGTACCTACCTTTATTTCGAAGGTCATCATGAATCTGCTACTAAGAAGAAATGTTTGTTCAGCAGAAAATCCTCACTGCCCTTTAAAACATATGAACATTGTAAAGTTCTGCATTAAAAGGTGAAATGAGAG